GCTTTTGTATGTTTTAAATTTAGTGTGACAGAATGTTTTAGAGATGGATTATATTGTTTTATATATAAAACAAGATAATATTTTGTAAAATGAATATATGTTTGTAAAAAGAATGGGCTCTAGGCAAGCACTACTAACACATATTTTCAATTCAGGCTTGACTATATTCAGAGTTGAATGGAGATGACATACGTTTCAACTAGTAACTGAAGAGAAACTATAATGAGACATTTTAAGATTTAAGTTCAACACAATATGTTTTGCACATATAAAGACTGAGTTAAACATTATTCTTTTTTTAAGAGAGAGTGAGAGAGGAGAGAGAGAGAGAGAGAGAGAGAGAGAGAGAGAGAGAGAGAATTTTTAATATTTATTTTTTAGTTCTCGGCGGACACAACATCTTTGTTGGTATGTGGTGCTGAGGATCGAACCCGGGCCGCACGCATGCCAGGCGAGCGCGCTACCGCTGAGCCACATCTCCAGCCCAAACATTATTCTTTATAGAGAAAGAAACACAAGGAAGATAATTGGCACACAATTACATAAAAGTCTAAAATTATTGAAGAAAAAAATAATTACATAAAATGCTAAAATATTTAAGTAAAATTTTTAAGTGTGTATAATAAATCCTCATGAAGTTGAGTTTCTGTGAAAATCTTTCAACCAAAATATTTTCTATGCTGAAAGTTTGCTTTAATAACTCTACAGAAGTCAATTTTCAAATTTGTGTCTGTGAATGTTTATTGGAGGAAACTACATTTTTAAAAGTATTTTGTGGTATAAAAGTGGACTTGTTCATATAAAACTTTAATTTACATTTGTCATAAGAAATTGACTTCATTTCCTAACTTGGTCAAGAGTAACCATTGATTTTGACAACACTAATCCTTTTCTTTTAGAATTAAGAATATATCCAGGCTGGAAGTGTAGTTCAGTGATCAAGCACTTGCCTAGCATGTACTATCTCTAGCATCATGATCAATAAATATATTCTTAAAAAAGAATTAGGAATTAATCCATATACATTCCTCCTTGTGAAAAGTTATTTAGAAAAAATAAGTAACTTTATATTTTTAAAGAAGAATAATTTTTTTAAAAGTCTCCAGGATTGAGTCAAATGTATGAAAGATGATATATCATGAGCTCTGTAATATTTTGAACAATCAATTAAAAAAAAAGAAAAAAAAGTCTCCAGGAGGTTTTACTTCATCAACAAACAAACACTGAAATCAATCCAATATCCAACAGTGAATTTTATTTATTGTGGTATCTTCATGCAATGAAATTCTACTTAATACAAAGAGCATCCATTGTAAGGCAGAAAGATAGGGAAGGATGCAGGAACTTTGGTTTGTGTAGAAGGGAGTGAGGGAAAGGGGTGGGGTTGTGGTGATGGGAAGGACAGTAGAATGAGACAGACATTAGTACCCTGTATACATGTATGATTACACTACTGGAGTGACTCTGCACCATGTACAGCCAGAAAAAAAAAAAGGAGAACTTGTGCTCCATTTGTGTATAATATGTCAAAATGCATTCTACTGTCATATATAACTAATTAGAACAATTTTTTAAAAAAGAATAAATTATTGGAATCCAAAACACAGACAATTTCCAATGACATTGTGTTGAATGAAGAAAAAAAAAGCCAGATACCAAAGCTTCCATTCATAAGTACATGGGAAGAGGCCAAATTAATTCATGATGATAGAACTTAAAGCTGGGGTTGGGGAAGGGGATACCTACAAGAGCCAAAAGAAGTTTCTGGGATGATAAAATATCTACATCTCAGTTGGGATGCTCATTAGTTATCCAAAGATTAAAAAAAAACCACTGAATTGTACAATTAAGGTCTTTACGTTTCACTGGATATAATTTTAAGTTGATTATAAAGTAAAAACTATCTGAGATAGGAAACTACAACAGAAGGAAATATCTGAATCAGAATAGTTGGATGTGGTCCCAGGCATGTGCCTGATTTATCTTGGAGCAGATCACAGGTGTTACCCAAGACTTGATGTTTTCTTTCCTGTATGACATTAGAACCCCTAAAGATTTATTGGAGCATGTGCCCACATGGAACGAAATAAAAATTATATTACCCAGGCTTCGTTATAACTTTGAAGGGATATACACTTATTTTGTCACTTCATTTATAAGGATGGCAGGAACTTGGCTTTGAGAAACGAGCTCCATGAGGTGAACACTGGAAGGGAAGCTATTAAGGATGGAGAAACATGGTGAAGAGAATGTTTCTACCCTGAATTGTTTATTTTTTTTTACTTCTCTCTTGTTTCAGATCCTGATCCTTGCAAGTAAAACGTATGTTTTATTTCTTGTTTCATTGACTTCACAGGATTTCTTCGAGACTCCAGTGAGGTAGTAGATGCGAAATGGCTTTGGAATAATAATAACAAGGTATTATGCAAATATAAGGCATATCAATTACAATATTAACAAATCCAAATATGGCTTCCAGGCGTACCCACACATTTTGGAAAGTTGGTATTGTTTTACTGCAAGATAATATGTGAAAACCTCTTTTTGTCGATATCTTAATTGTATCTCAATAAGAGAGTCCCCTCACTCCATGGGACCACACATCTGACTTAAACCCTTCCAAATGATGAAGACAAATGTTGACACAATCTTGACATTACTCATTCAGCAGCAATTGAGGGTCTGTCATCTGTCAGTCATTGTGCCAACTGCAAAGTCACATGGAAAAGGGCACAGACAAAGGAAGGGGTGAAGAAGTGAGGCTGAAACTCAATCTGACCCAGGTAAGTTTGGTTAACACTTGAGACATCATGCCCAGGTGGGATGTTCCTCTTCTATACTTGGAACTATACTATTCTTTGCTTGAGAAAATAAAACCAAGAGTGAAGAGAAATAGCACGGCAGTTGACTGATAATAAAACTCATCAAAAGAGACATATCACCATATATTTAATCCTTTTACATTCACTGCTTCCAAGAAATTCAAAGATACACAAAAAGTTTCAAACTACCTAAAATCTGCCCCCCAAATACATTGTTCATTATTGACCTCAACAAGACATAAGAACTACAAGTTTTATAAAGGGTTGATGGAAACATGTTTTGATAGATCAAAAGTTCAGGACATTACTCATGTGGTAATTCACCTACACTAGCAAATTGCAATGTGAAGAATGAAATTGCAGTGAATTGGCCCCAGACCTTAGGTACAGGAATACATATGCAAATAGGATCCATTCTCTGTCCTCAAGGACTCCAAGGGTAGTTTGTCCCTCATTCCCAACTCCCAGGCTCTGCCTTCTATCCATCAGAGGGAGATGAAAACTGGGTCTGCTCTTAGGAAAACTGTGCATTAGGACAACCATTCTGCTCTTTGCCCTGAATTTCCAAGACAAGGTTACAGAATCATGGAAAATTTCAGTTGCCTATCTCACGTTATCCAGTCATTCAGTGGTAGATTTGGATTTTATTCAGTCAATCTGGTGACACAGTCAAATCTTTAACTACCTTGCTATGCCCAGGTGTACCAATCTCCAAGAAACCATCTCACCAAACCTCCTATGGACAGCACTCCCTCCATCAAGGCAGACCCTGAGCTTGTTCTAATAGCAATGTACCCAGTCAGGGCAGAAACTCTGCCTCATCTAAGCCCATCACGTAATCCCAACATCATTTCCCAATGCTCTCTTTCCCAGCCTCCTTTGCATGTAGGGGTAACCTCATGACCTCTTTCTGCTAAAAAAAAAWTTTTTTTGCTGAAACATTTCTCAGAATTATTTCTCAAAATAAGGAATGGGCCTTTCCCACTCTTCATATGAAGAAGATATGAAGCTTGAAGCAGCTGCCATTCTGCATCTTGCATCCTAGGATGACAATATAGAGAGCTGAGGAGGCACCAATCCATGTGCTGCAGTTACAGAATTAGGAAAACACCATCAAACCATTGATCTGCAAAGTTTTCCTTTAGAAAGCAAGACATGATACTGTGGCTTAAACCAAGACTGGGTAAACTTTTTCTATAACGTTAGAAAATAAATATTTAGGGCTTTGCAGACTCTGCAATCTCTATCACAGCTTCTGCTAAATTTTTCCCATGAAGCATAGAAAAAGGTACAGCTTACCTATAAAATATGGGCATGGCTCTCATCCAATAACTATACTATGGACATTAAAATGTGAATTTCACATAACATTTATGTGTCAGAAAAATCTTCTTATTCTTCTGATTATTTTTATCAATCATTAAAAATATAGAAGCATTTCTTAGGTCACAGTTCACATAAGAACAGGCAGTGAGATTGGTTTGATTGCAGCTGTTCTTCACCAGGTCGAACCAAACACAGTCCTAGCTAAATCACTGGCCTTCCCTCAGAGCCCAGATAACCACTGTCTAGAAGAGAAGAGTCTTTTAAAATTGTTTAGATTCAGATAATAATGGTTAGTAGCACTTTTCTTGACTTTCACTCACCCAGAGACATTTTCATTATAACAATGCTACTCTTACTCATGAAATAAATTTCCAACCGTAGAATTTCAGGCATGAGAACCAGACTAATAGGAAGAAGTCACCAAAAATAGTACAGAAGGCTGCCTGGAACCCCCCCCCAAGATCACACTGGTAAGAAAAACCAGCTAAAACATGGACTTTGGTCTCCAAGTACCATGAACCTTCCCCCTTCCACTACATGTTAACCACAGAGGTGAAATGAATACAGCCAAGGTGACACTGCTGAGAGGTGACTTGGTGAAATTCCATTTCACATGATCCATCTGTCAATTTTAAAGGCTTCGCACTGCTGACTATTAGAGAAGACACAGAAAGCATCCCAATGGGAACACAGTACCATATACTGATAGCTATGACAGGGTCTAAAATGGTACCATGGAGTTAAATTAACTCATTAGAATTACAACAAAATGAAGAACAGGTAAACTTTTGCTCTACTCCTTCACGGTTGACTGAAATCAGATTGCACTTTTAGTCACCCTGTTTCATGTTTTCATTTTTTTCCTATCTTTGAGTTCACTTTTTTGCCCCACAACTTCCCAATGGCATTTTTCACTTCTGCATTTCTGAGTGTGTAGATGATGGGGTTCAGCATGGGGGTGATGACCGTGTAGAACACGGCCACCAGTTTGTCCTCAGTGTAGGTGGAGGCGGGCCTCAAGTAGAGGAAGATGGCAGGTCCAAAAAACAAGATGACCACCGTGATGTGAGAGGCGCAGGTGGACAGGGCTTTGCGCCTCCCCTCTGCAGAGTGGTTCCTCAGGTTGAACAGGATGACGATGTAGGAGGACACCAAGAAGAGGAAGGAGAATACAGAGAACAATCCACTGTTGACGAACATAATAATGCCAACCACAAATGTGTCTGTACAGGCGATCTTAAATAAAGGATGAAGGTCACAGAAATAATGGTCAATGACATTGGGACCACAGAAAGGCAGTGGGATGGTGATAAAAATCTGAATAATGGAGTGAAAAAAGCCCCCCAGCCAGGAACCAACCACCAGACGGTGACACACAGGACGGCTCATGATTGCTGTGTAGTAAAGGGGTTTGCAGATGGCCACGTAGCGGTCATAGGCCATCACAGCAAGCAGGAGGATCTCAGTGACCCCAAAGAAGTGGAAGAAGAAGATCTGGGCCAGACAGCCCTTCAGAGAGATGGTTTTGACCTTGGCAAGTAAGTCAGTGATGAATTTAGGGACCACAGTAGAGGAGTAACAGATCTCCACCAGGGACAGGTAGCTAAGGAAGAAGTACATGGGGGAGTGTAGACTCTTACTGATATTGACTGTTAGAACAATGAAGCCATTGCCCACCACAGTGGCCAGGTACACCGGGAGAAACAACACAAAGCACACTCTCTGCACCTTTGGATCCTGGAAAAGGCCGGTGATGATTAACTCAGTCACATTGTTTGCACTGGCCATGGGTTCAGTTCAGGTGTGCTGGATACCAGATCCTCAGGGAACCTGCAATAAAGCATACAGTGGTTGTATCCCTTTAGAGGGTGAAAACCAGTTTACAGTATGCTTATTATTCAATCATTCATTTAGCCAGCATGTAATCATTTAACATTAAATTTTAGCCATCTAACACTAACTCATTTTAATTAATTTACTTTTATTATTAGAAAATGAAGGCTCAGAAAATCATTATTTTTCCATGACCACACAGAAAATGGTGGATTCTGGGACTTAGAACCACTCTTTCTGATTTTTATTTGAATGTTCTAATTCACCACAAGATAATTCAGAATTTTATGAGCCACTCAGGTGAATAGCCTGTATTTTTACTACGTGCATTGCATTTTTATAGCTCTCTCCTAATGGGAAATCCCCTTTGCACATACCATTACTCCTGTGTTCCTTATTTATTTTATCTGTGCCTCAGGAACTTACTTCTCACTGACAGCCCTCCCTTTCCCAAAATCCTCTCTGCAGTCTCCTTTCCTCCATCATACCAGTCTTCAATTCATGCAGATCTATGTTCTTCACCAATCTCACAGCTTCAGAGAGCATGTCTCTATGACAAATGCTCACACACTCTGAGGAGAACTGAATTCACTAGTCTTCCTCCATTATTCCACCATTTCACACCTACTACCACACAAACTACTGAAAGATCCTACACTCTAATAGCATGTCCTCTGAGAACCTGCTATGGCTAGCAGTTGCAGGTGTGGTTCTAGGTTGATTAGTCACTAGCAAAGCATACAATAACAGGAGTGAGGATGTCTCTCTCTGTTTCTTCTCTGGTGCAAATACTGTGAAGTTCTTACGTAACTAAACACCTACCAGATTACACGGAAGAAATGCATACCACAATACATACCTCAGGATAAAAATATCATGTAACCCAAAACAGTATACTCCACATGAAGGTTCCCCAGTTGAAGTTTTAATTATATATGATCTATATTAATAGGAAAAACATGAAAAATTTGATTCCCTACTATAAAACTTATCCCTATATTTCCCCTCTTTTTTCTTTTTTTCAGACAAACCATTCTTTTATTCAATAAGATAAAATACTTTATGCTATTTTATACTTTATCAAAACACAGCTTAATTTTCTTTTGTATATAGAATTACTATTGTTTATTTCATAGATTTTTTATTACTTTTTTTAAATTTATGTATAACATCAGAATGCATTACAATCCTTATTACACATTTAGAGCACAATTTTTCATATCTATGGTTGTATACAAAGTATGTTCACACCAATTTGTGTCTTCATACATGTACTTTGGACAATGATGACCATCACATTCCACCATCCTTGCTAACCCCATGCCCCCTCCCTTCCCCTCCCACCCCTCTGCCCTATCTAGAGTTTGTCTATTCCTACCATGCTCCCCCTCCCTATTCCACTATTTACTACAAAGACACAGCCACATCAGTTTTTGTAGCAGCACAATTCACAATAGTTAAATTGTAGAACCAACCTAGATGCCCTTCACTAGATGAATGGATTAAAAAATGTAGTGTTTATACACAATGGAATATTACTCAGCAATAAAAGAGAATAAAATCATGACATTTGCGGGTAAATGAATGGAGTTGGAGGAGATAATTCTAAGTGAAGTTAGCCAATTCCAAAAAACTAAATGCTGAATGTTTTCTCTGATATATTTTTCCCTTTTATCTGTTTTTTGTACTGAAAGCTTTCAGAAACATACTATAATTTTTTACCAATTTGCTTTTTAATTGACAAATAAAAATGTTTTGGCCTAAGTGTGCACCATAAAAAGATTCAATCAAGATAATTAACATATCTATCACTTTACCCAATCTATCATTTTTATGTGTGTGACAAGGATGCTAAAAACCCATTCTTTAGCAATGTTGGAGTATACTCAATATGTCAAAGATATAACTGCATTTCCATATTCATTGCATCATAATTCAAAATAGCCAAGGTGTTGAAGTAACCCAAATGTCCTTCCATAGATGAATGTATAATGCATGGTATGTATACACAATAGAATTCCATGCATCCTTTTAAAAAGAAGAAAAATATACTAAAACTGAGATTCCACCCAAACAGCAAGGAACAGAGCACAGAAAGCAAAGGTCAGGATATAACAATGGAAACAAATCAGTGTGTGTCCCAGCCTCCTGAGATTTAGTATTCAGTAAAATCCTTGAACCTCAAGGAGCTGATAAATGAGTATTTTAGAGCTAGAGAAGTAGTCAAGTCAAGACCATGGCATCTCAGAGATGCAGAGAATCCTTGACCCTTGACTTTTTCATCCTTACTTCACTCTGTAGTGTACTTGGGTGCAAGGAAAAGCCCTTTTATTACTCAAGTACATAATTTTTTGTCTAACTAGTATAAATGGGGTTCTGTGTCTGGAAAGCAAAATTCCTACATTGGAAACATAGGACTGAAACAAAACTCAGTTAAATCAGACACAGAAAGACACAGGTTCTCCTCATATGTTGAAGCTTAAAAAAAAAAAAAAACCCTCTACCTGAATGTATAATAGTGATTACTTGAAGATTGTGCACTAATCAAATTCAGGAGGACAACTGGATTTGATTAGTGCACAATGTATGCATATATTTAAATATCACAATAAACTCTATTAAAATGGACAGTTAATACATGTTAATCAAAAATAAAATACTTATAAACAATTTTAAAGCACTATCAACCAGAAAGTTTAAATTAAATTACTAGTTAGAAAGCACAACTTAAAAATATTACATCTAGGAGCTAGGGTTATGGCTCAGCAGTAGAGCACTAGTCTTGCAAGTGCAAGGCCCTGGATTCGATCCTCAGCACCACATAAAAATAAATAAATAAAATAAAATTATTTTAAAAAAATATTACATATATAATAGGTAGGAAATTTTTTTGAAATACAAAACTCTTAAAATGTAAAATGCACATAAAGACAAAAACCATAAAACTCTACTGAAGGATATAACACAACAAATGAATTAATGGGAAATCACATTTATATCCATCACACAAAAGATTTAATTATATTTTCTAATAATAAAACTCAGTTATTTATGTTTTAATTTTTCTTAATATATTATTCTCCTTAATATAAAAATATATGAATTATTTCATTGTCAAGAAAAATCAAGTGTGATTTTTTAATGTAATATCACAATTATTCTAAAGTTCATCTATAAGAAAAATACTCTAAAACCACTAAAACATACTAAAAAAAATTAGTGAAGTCACTTTTCTCTTCAGATATTGACTTTTAAGCTGGCTATAAGTTAAAGAAGTTTGATACTAAAAATAGAAGGGTATGTATTTTTTTTAAAATTCACAATTATATAAGAGAATTAATCATGAAAAAGTGGAAATAAGGTATACAGTTCAAAAGAGGATACTAGAACAATTGTTAAACTTTTGGGGGGAAAATTAAATTTGATTACCAGACTTTCTCACCCATCAAAATTAATTCTGAATTAAAGAATTAGAAATAAAAATACAAATATTTAAAGAATACAAAGCAGAATTGGTGATTATGTTATGGAAGTCTGATATAAACGTTAGTAGATAGCATTTGAATATACACAAAAATAAAAACTTTTGAATAAAAAACAAAAAAGCATAAACAAAATCATTACTCAAATGATAAAATCAGAAAAAATGCGAAAATGTGTATGATAAACCTCAAGAGCCTTCTATTTTTGAAATCTTTCATATCTCTAAGAAATGTTCATGCATTCCAAAGGAAAATGAGCAAAGATAATAATAGAGATAATAAATGAGAAACTCACAAAAGACTAAAAGATTAATATACGTATGAAAGAATAACCATGAATAATCAAATAAATGCCCACAAAACATAACAAATATCACTTTTGAGTAAAAGGTGGTCTGTGGAAAGTTAGTGAGGATAAGATAGCACAGGTTAGGGTTGGTGTTTGCCTCATATTCTATGGCAGAAGTAAATATCAGTAAAATCATTCTGAACAGCAAACTGATAGCGTATATCAAAGATAAATGCTCCTTCTACCTCCAATAACACATCCCAGCACTGGTTAAATATACAAGTGTTGGAGGCATAGGTGTATTGGGACACCTCAGACCGACTTTGGGTGCATCTTTTTTCCAAATCCACATTCAGAAGTGTTGCCAGGGTAGCCTGAAATCAGCTGAGGTGGGAACATATGCACACTGAAAATCAGCAAACACCACAAAGAAGATCTATTTCTTAAGAAAAGCCCATGGTTAAACTGTTATAGTCAATGTTTTCATCGCTATGACCAACGTACCTGACAAGAACAACTTAGAGCAGAAGAAGTTTATTTTGGCTCACAGTTTCAGAGGTTTGGTCCATGGTTGGTCAACTCCACAGCTCTGGCCCAGGACTGAGGCAAAACATCAGGATAGAAGAATGTAGCTCAAGACATGGTAATCAAGAAGAAGAGTGAAGGATCCACTCAAGAGGAACAAAATATAAATCCCCAAGTCATTCCCCCCACCTCATGATCTACTTCCTCCAGCCACACCTGCCTACAGTTATGACTCAGTTAATCCCTAATCATTTGGAATCTCATCTAATTGCTTACCTTTGAACATTCTTGCATCATCTCAAACATGAGCTTTTGGGAGACACTTCATATCTAAACCATAACATTCAACCCTGGCCCTAAAAATCCCATGCCCATCTCACACTACAAAATACATAGTACGTTAACAGTTCCATTATTACCCCAAATTCCAAGTCCAAAGTCTCCTCAAAGACTCAAGACAAACTCATGGATATTTTCCCCTGTAGAGAATAAAAGCAAGTCACAAATATCCAACACATAATGGCACAGAGGAAATATTTGCATTCCACAAGGGAGAAATAAGGGCATAGAAAGAAAGGATGGGACCAAAGCAAGACCAAAATTCAGCTGAGTCCTGTAGCCCCATGACCAGCATCTAGGGCACATAGCATTGTATTGTT